ACAAATACAAAAAGATAACTGGAGAAAATAGGGCTGTGTTGTGTGAACGGTCTGACATTGTTCGTCTCCGAAATCATTACCTTCCACCATCAAGCAGAAACGTGAAGAAGGATATGAGCCCGTCTTCTTTGATGAGACATGGGTAAATGCGTCACACACGGTGTACCCACGGGGTACCCAGTGGTGACTGTAAGGAGTCTGGTAGAAAGTTACCAATGGGAAAGGGTGAAAGATTCATAGTTCTCCATGCTGTTTCTGCTAGTCAGGTTTTTCTCCCAGACTGTGACCTCGTCTTCAGATCCAAGGCCAAAGACAACAGGGACTACCACACAGAAATGAACGGCAATGTATTTCTGGAGTGGGTGAAAGATAAATTAGTCCCTGCTTTGCCTACCAAGTCTCTCATTGTGGACAATGCACCGTATCATAGTGTGCAGGATCAGGAAAGCAAGACTCCAACCTCTAATAACCGTAAAGGAGACATGGTTACTTGGCTGCATCGGAGGAACATTACCTTTCCTTCTCGAGCGACGAAACCACAGCTCTATGAAATCATCAAAACTATGAAACCTGACCCCGTGTATAAAGTTGACAGTTACATCAAGGGTCAGGGTCACGCTGTCTTATGACTACCACCTTATCACTGTGACCTGAATAAAATCGAGCTGGTATGGGGCATCGTCAAGGGTGACGTTGGACGATCGAACACAACGTCTAAATTACGAGACGTTGAACAACTCGTAAAGGAAACCCTTGGTCTGGTAACAGTAGAAACATGGAGGCGTTGTGTGGCCACAGTCGTTGACGAGAAAGAGCCACGGCCAGCAACAGTCCAACCTATAACAGTTGCAGTCGGTTCAGGCACCAGCAGTTCCGACGACGAGATCTATGGCATGAGCGAGTCAGATTGCGACTGAAATTATCATGAGACGGCCCCTCTAACGCTCTGTCGTTTCCCCTACCACAGAACGTGCAGTGCATGCGTGCTTGCGCTGTGCCTTCCACGGTGTGTCCCCCCTACGTGTCATATACACATTTTTATACAAAATTACATGATAGTTTCTTAAAGAACTTCATCCGTCATGGGTCTTAAAATAAACAAAATTCAGATTTTGTTGGGTACAGGGTATTCATGGTCAAGTACCGTATTGATGTTTCATACACTTTTCTGGATTTCGAGTTATTTTGCAATTCATCGTTCTCATTTGGAGTCAAACGGACTGTAGTCCGGACTGATGCCGATTTATAGTGCTAGCCCACTGAGATACCATGCCGCAGTTTAACATGAATACCCCACTCAGACACAGTATACTGACTCCGAGCCGACCAGTCCTTGTTTTAGCCCCTTAATGCCGAGCGCCAGGCAGGGTAATAACAAGTACCATCTTTTAACGTCTTTTGGTATGACGCGACCGGGGAATGAACCCCGAACCTTCCATAGTCTGAATAACACACACAAACTGCTGTTGGATATCAATGACCACAAAGTAGGAATGCCCAATGCCCAAAAATATAGAAAAATGAAAAAAACACCAAAAGAGGCAGTACACAATACAAGTGAAAAAGAGGGAGTTGGGGCCTGTTGCAAGGTATATGTACAAACGATGTTGCAAGAAGTGTACAAAATTAAAGAAAAGTGTCTGAAGTTTAAGGAAATAAATTAATAAATGATCCCAAGGACAAGCAAACAATCAGAAAAAACAAAGCGAAATGTATAACACTTAAAACAAGTGAAACCCCCATCTTCAGTATTCGCTGTGCAGAGTTGCGTCCCTTGGACACGCCAGAAACCTATGATTTTGGGTTCGAATCCCGGTTCGCCCCGATTATATTTCTAGGTTTGTCAGCACCATACCCGTGCTCGTGGGTTTCACCGATGTGGTAAACGTCTGAGACCTGCATCACTTCGGGCTTTCCTCCCACATCAAGCTGACACGCCGTGATATAACTGGAATACTGTCAAAAGCGGCGTTAAACCCAACTCACTCACTCATTTCAGTAAATTAAGTGACTCGATTGTCGGCCGGTCATGGTTTCATAGATGACGTAATACTGACCTAGCTACACGAGAAGCACGTGCTGGCCTGGGATACTGAAGCAGTCGATTGGGGTAAGAATGTTCAGTGTTTAGCACAAGTTAAGGATATCTGAATATATCGACAATGAATTTAGCTTCCAAATAATATACGTTTGATTTGAACGATGCGTTGTAGTGATAGACTACATCACCGGGATTGCATCGTGCAATGGAGCTGTGCATGTACTCTTGGTCACGCCCAGAAATGTAGAAAATAGATAAAACCCGAAGTCAGTATACAATGCATGTGTAAAAGAGAGAGTAAATAATCTTGAGTTGGGTCCTGTTGCAAGGTATATGTACATATTACAGAAAAAGAAGAGAAGTAAAAAAATGTTTCAAATTTAAGAAATATATTAAGATCAAAAGGACAAGCAAACAAACGGATAAACAAAGCAAACAAACGAATAAACAAAGCAAACCCTTATCTACAGTAACCCAAGTGACCGTGTTTAATGGCGTCAGGTGTGTCGGCCGGTCATGGTGACATTGATGACATAATACTATCGTAGCTACACGAGAAGCACGTGCTGGCCAGTAACATTGGTGATATCACACAAAAAGGACTGGGATTCTGTAGCAGTTCACCAAGAAACATTTTGGTCACTGTGGACTACGGAGAGGGTCGATACTACCACTACATGGCATCAGCAACGATCATCCAGCTCTGAAGATCGACATCCGAATGACTTTCATCCGAACAACCGCATCAATCACGCTTCAAATGTCAACAAACAATCACGTCTTCAACCATCAATTGCGTCAATTACTCATTAACTTCAACAAACAATCGCGTCAATCACACTTTGGCTTCAACAATCAATCGCGTCAATCACCCACTGGCTTCAACACACAATCGGTCCGTAATGGGGTAAATTACTACTACTCGCGTCAATCACTCATAAGCTTCAACAATCAGTCGTGTCAATCACACATTGGCTTCAACAAACAATCACGTCAATCACACATTGGCTTCAACAATCAATCGCGTCAATCACCCACTGGCTTCAACAAACAATCGGTCCGTAATGGGGTAAATTACTACTACTCGCGTCAATCATTCATAAGCTTCAACAATCAGTCGTGTCAATCACACATTGGCTTCAACCAACAATCGCGTCAATCACACATTGGCTTCAACAAGCAATCGCGTCAGTCCCACATTGGCTTCAACAAACAATCGCGTCAATCACACACTGGCTTCAACAAACAATCACGTCAATCACACATTAGCTTCAACAATCAATCGCGTCAATCACCCACTGGCTTCAACAAACAATCGGTCCGTAATGGGGTAAATGACTACTACTCGCGTCAATCACTCATAAGCTTCAACAATCAGTCGTGTCAATCACACATTGGCTTTAACAAACAATCGCGTCAATCACACATTGGCTTCAACAAACAATCGCGTCAGTCACACACTGGCTTCAACAAGCAATCGCGTCAATCACTCATAAGCTTCAACAATCAATCGCGTCAAGTACACATTAGCTTCAACAATCAATCGCGTCAATCACACATTGACTTTAACAAATAATCACTTCAATCGACCTTTCTTAGCTGGGGGCGGTCGGGTAGCCCAGTGGTTAAAGCGTTCGTTCGTCACGCCGAAGACCCGGGTTCGATTCCCGACATGGGTACAATGTGTGAAGCCCATTTCTGGTGTCCCCCGCCGTGATATTGCTGGAATATTGCTAAACGCGGCGTAAAACCATACTCACTCACTCACTTTCTTAGCTGGAGCAAAACCTGGCAATGCGTTCACATAAGCATCTCGCTGCAAAGAAAAGCAAAAATTCATGTGTCGTCTTATGTGAAGGCAGATCCGGGGTAAAATAGGTCTTCAGCAACCCATGCTTGCCGTAAAAGGAAAATAACGGGATCAGGTGGTCAGACTCGCTGACTTGGTTGATGCATGTCATCGTATCCAAAATGCGTGGATCACGAGAGGTCGCCTAGCCACCCGTGTCCCCAGTTGATTTAGAAAGAAGGTATCACATTGAAGTATGGAACTTCAACGTAGTTCCTGCTAGACGACCTCATTTGCATATTTATCTGATCATGAAACCAAATTTATCGTTTTGTTTGATCGCGTCCATAACACTATCCTTTATGTGAAAAAACACTAAAATGTTTAACAAAAAACCCGCCAAGCAACACCTTGGTGGAATTATACTCAACCGTCAATACCGAGTGAAAAAACAATCTGGAAAAAATACATTTTTTTCAACTGGTTTTACAAAAACAAATTTAAACAAAAGGTCTCATTTACTTGACATGCTGAAAAATATTTTAATGTCTCGAAACAAAATCTCCGCGCTACCGTAATTCCGGAACCTTGTAAATCCGGACATTTTTTTTGAAGAGCACTGTCCGGATTAACGGGTTTTTTTCTGTATCTATAACTGGTACTACACTCAGTACTGACCTTTCAGAATTACAGCAGATGACTAGCGTACACTCAGGAACTATCTCATCAATCACATCGTGCTCGGTGACAACAGCCGAACACGCCTTAACATCTGCATCCCTACCACCATCAGTTAGGGCACTCGATCAGCTTATGCTTGGATATACACTCAGGATTCCAAACGTATTTTAGGGACCGTAGAACGGTAACCTCTGCCCTTGATTTTGTGTCGGTGGTGACGTCACATGCAGTTTTCTGCCTCCTGGAGTAAGTTCACTGGTATGTTCCTCGTTTTGTATTTTATCATATTTACTTTAATAACTAAAAGTCTACATTATACCAGCAACACAACTTTTAAAATATCCGGCACCATGTACAGTTTGTTTAATAGCATCTACTTAAATTACCCCGGTTCCGATTTTGTTGGCCATTATAGCGTATTTGTTATGCACTAATAGATTTTGATGCCCACATGTTACAGCGAGTTGAGCTTACCCTGGCCTTTCTGGGTCAGGCCACAGTGGGAGGTTATACGTTACATGTCAGTCTCTGGTGTGGACTCAAAATACGTAGTTTGAGTGACACGTTGAACTCGCTACACACAACGTCACAGATTATTTAGCAGCGGACACAAAGCAGCCATTGCATCGGCATCGGCATCGGCATCGGCAGACAGACGGCAAAGGTATATTTTCAATATGAGGTCACACATTTTCTGTTCTATTGTTAAGGTTTATTCTCTAGGCAAAGTGGGGTGGGGTAGCCTAGTGGTTATAGCGTTCGCTCGTCACACCGAAACCCCGGGTTCAATTCCCCACTTGGGTACAATGTGTGAAGCCAATTTCTGGTGTCCCAAACCGTGATATTGCTGGAATATTGCTAAAAGCGGCGTAAAACCATACTCACTAAAAAAACCCAGAAATATTTTGATATACAGACATACAGGCATCAAGGGACCTTTGGTTTGTAAATATTATTTTTTGTATTTTTGTTGTTGAAATTATACATTTTGATTGTAAGCTATACTTTTGACCTAAAAATCAAATAAATATTATTTTTTATTGAAACCTTATTCACCTTTGATTCAGTACCCCCCACCGTGATATTGCTGTAATATTGCTAAAAGCGGCGTAAACAATACTCCTCCACTCTCTAGCCAATATGCTTATGTAGCTTAAAATTAATATACAAGTACTTTCTGGAGCTCATACTTGTTTAATTTAGTTTTATTTTAGTTTTTATTTGGCATAAACTTATATGGGTCGGTTTGTTTACGGGAAGCGAATACAGGCTTATTTTTTTAAAAGCGCATGATGTCAACGATCCCAATTACGTGGATCGATGCTCATGATGTCAACCACTGGATTGTCTGGTCCAGACTCGATTATTTTGCAGACCGGCGTTATATAGCTGGAATATTGCTGAGTGCGGCGTTAAACAACAAACAAACAAACAAACAAAAGCGCAGGATGTTTACTCACGATACTTTACTTGTACCATGAGTCAGGTATTAACTCCTCTGCCTGTCAGAGAAGGCGATATGTTCTCTTGAAATACTGAAGCAGCTTTAAAGTCAACCCACTCATGAAAATGCGTGCTGCGTCAAACCCCAACATATTTTATATCATTCATAGCTGTTTTCACCCGTATAACAAATGTTTGTTTGTTTCATGTTGTTTAACGCCGCACTTAGCAATATTCCAGCTATATGACGCCGGTCTGTAAATAATCGAATCTGGACCAGACAAGCAAGTGGTTGATATCATGAGCATCGATACACGAAATTGGGATACGATGACATGCTTTAATCAAGTCAGCGAGCCTGACCACCCGATCCCGTTAGTCGCCTCTTACGACAAGCTTAGTCTCCTTTAACGGCAAGAATGGTAAGCTGAAGACCTATCATGACCCGGATCATCACAGACATATTAGAAATGTATCCAAGTTGTCTATAACGTATGAAACTATAGTCTCTCATAATTTTACAAGTAATGGCTTATATATCTCAGCCCACTGTTTTGTAATTTTAGTGAACTATTTCACCATAAGGTGAGACTTCAAATAATGAGACCTTTGTTTGTCTGTCGGTCTCTCCGAACAGACGAAGATGAACTCAATCTTTGAACTTCTCTGCTCAAACCAAAGCAATCCAGTCTTAACCAATTCTAGCGTCCAGCCATTGTCAAAATGAGCTTGAAGTGCATGAAGAAATTAAGAAGGTGTTTGCCTTGAATAATTAACCAATTCTTGCGTCCAGCCATTTTCAAAATGACCTAGAAATGCATGAAGAAATTAAGAAGGTGTTTGCCTTGAATAATTAACCAATTCTTGCGTCCAGCCATTGTCAAAATGAGCTTGAAGTGCATGAAGAAATTAAGAAGGTGTTTGCCTTGAATAATTAACCAATTCTTGCGTCCAGCCATTGTCAAAATGACCTAGAAATGCATGAAGAAATTAACAAGGTGTTTGCCTTGAATAATTAACCAATTCTTGCGTCCAGCCATTGTCAAGTGTTTGCCTTGAATAATTAACCAATTCTTGCGTCCAGCCATTGTCAAAATGAGCTTGAAGTGCATGAAGAAATTAAGGTGTTTGCCTTGAATAATTAACCAATTCTTGCGTCCAGCCATTGTCAAAATGAGCTTGAAGTGCATGAAGAAATTAAGAAGGTGTTTGCTTTGAATAATCATTTTGAGGCAGACAGATATGTTCATTTACGTCTCACTGGTGGCAAGGTGATAGAGCACACAGACAAATAGCTCCGACTTGTTTGAATAAAAACAAAGTAAATATCTACCTGCCAGGGCCATACCTTGGACAAGGACAAGAGGAAGCATCATGGGTTGTGACCTAACAACATACAGAAGCAGCATCGGATGCTTTACATGTATTTTTGTCGCATTCATGTTTGGTAGAGTGAAGCGAGTGATACCCATGCGTGTCGCCATGCTGCACGTGCCGAACGGGACAGGTGGGCTCATGAGAGCGACCGTACTTGTCAGTGTTGCGATTTTGATACAGTTGTGTAAAGATGTTGAGAGTAACCCGGGCCCCGGACCAAACACCAGAGGTAAACAAGGTACACTGGACCTCATGGTTGACCCTATCAGTCGAGATATTTTGGTGGAAATTCGAAATGTGAGGAAAGAAATGTCTGAAAACTTTGCAAATTTGACACGAAGAATGAATAACATGGAACAAGATATCCAGTCGTTGGTCAGTGAAAATACAGAACTGAGAGATGAGGTGTTACATCTTACCCGCAAAATAAACTCTATGGAAAGCCAGGCCAAAAGAAACAACGTGATTTTCTATAACGTGGAAGGACAGTCATCTGAATCGTATGAAGATACCCTCGATGCCGTAACCAAGGTGATGACCGAAACTATGAACTTTAAATATGAAGATTTTGCAGTGCTTAATGTAAGAAGACTACCATCCAAGGCATCCGGTCCCAACCAGTGCTCGTCACATTTGCCCAACCTAACCACAAGTCGAAAGTAATGATGGGGGCAAATATCTGAAAAGCCGTAAATGATACTTACATCTACGTAGATGATACTTTCATTTACGTAAATGATACTTACATCTACGTAGATGATACTTTCATTTACGTGGACGATGCTTTCATCTACGTAGATAATACTACACACATCTACGTAGAAGATACTTTCATCCACGTAGATAATATGATAATCAACGTAGAAGAAAGCATCATCCACGATCAAATTAGGTAACAATATTTTCTAGTGTAATCGACACTTGTTCCGGGTTAGTTATATGTAACTTCTGGCTCAATTAATAATGACTGATTTGTTTGCCTTTCTACCTTGATACGCTGGACAAAGGGACATTGTCATCACAGGTTGAATATATGCATATTTATTTTTTTGTTTTTCTCGTATTTCAATAAGTGTATGCTATGTTTCTGAACGGGTCGTTCTGTTTCGTTTCTGTGTGTGAAAACAGTTCGCACACACACTTTACTTCGCGGAAACAGCTTTAAAAAAAGCATGCATATGCGCCACATGTGTCGTATTATTTTCAGTTGGGCTTCAGAGATAGGATCAGCAACATCGTTTGACACTCGTATTATTTATTAATAGTGATCGTTATAGAAAGTTAGGAATTCACAAAGTTTTGTAGAAGTCAATTAAAATACCATAGTAATTGTTGTTTTAGAATTGTTGCCTTAAACCAAGATATAACTTTTAAAATGATTTAGTGTTCTCTACCGTTTGCACTGGTACTTTTTCTGCTGATCACATGCCTTTATTGAGGTACAGTAAACTACGGTTATAACGAACTCAAAGGGACCACTAATTTTGGTTCGTTATAACCGTAGTTCGTTATAAGCATTTATCATCCAAAACTGGCTCCCACGGGAGATATCGCTTGGATGAGATCAAGCGATATCTACACTGTAGATATCGCTGCAATGAAATTACATCACAATGCTTTGCAGACCATTGTGACGTCACTGGTTACCATGACGTCACAATCAAATGACATCACTAATGGCTCTGCTACTGAAGCTGTTTGCAGTACTTTTTACACTGAAAACACTGCTAATTACTGTCTACAAATTGAAAAAGTTGAAAGAATGATGTTGGATGATAAATAAAATCTCACCCGAGTGTCTTTTGATATCAAATATATCAACACTCGTTGATAAAAGTGGCAAAAATCCTCGGCAAGCCTCGGAATTTTCCCACTTTTATCAACTCGTGTTGATATATTTGATATCAAAAGACACTCGGGTGAGATTCTCTATATATACAGCATATATACAACAAATGGCCAGGACTAAAAAATAAGTTCGTTATGCCGGTCAGTTCGTTATAAGCGTGTTCGTTATAACCGTAGTTTACTGTACTATCTTAACACCGCATAAAGTAAATCATTATTTCAATGTAACTGGAGAAAACCGGACACATGTAACAACCGTAATAAAGAAAACAGGGCCCCCAACTGTTCTAAAAACTACAAACAAACAAACACGCAACTATAGGTCATTATTCAAAATTTTGAGAAATTATATATCAACCATAACATGGTTAAAGTCGGAGAAATCACTCCAATATGTCGAATCTCATGATTTCTGCATCACGGAAATTAGGGTTAAGAGGTAAAACGTGAATATGAAGGGGTGAGAATCACTCAAACTTTAAAACTATATCAAATCAATACTCGTCATCATTCTATGAAGCACTGAAGGCCTATTCTGCAGTTTGTGTTTTTATTTTAGCGCTGATAGTTTAACAATTTGAAATGATCTCAGTATGTTGTAAACTAAGGAAAAGACCAAATGAAAATAAACAACCAACATGCTCCCAAATTTTTAATTAAATAAAGAGTAATTAAGTAATCATTTTTATTGAAAAAATAAATGTTTGTATAAATTATTATTCAACTTGGATCGCAACTTTACAAGTCAATATCACTGTCCAAGTCACGATACCTTCTATAATATCACATACGGAGATGCAAATATCTTCTACGCAGATTAAAGTATTATCTACGAAGCTGATACATTTTGAGACTGGCACTAATACGCTTCCATACTCAGCGATTTATGAGAGACGGTCACAATTTTCATTTGACTATGCTAAAGCACATAATACGATTAGATGTAATTCATAGCACATTTGTGAATTATCTGTATAAAATATATCGTCGTTTATCTAATATGGCACGGCAGGTCCTGGAAATGTGAAAGGTTACATATGGTCTTGTAAAAAAGTAACGCATTTATTTTTGGTTTGTACTATTAAAGCCCGGTATCCTAATAGAGCATACATTAAAAAACACTTCTCTAGCATCATCATACATGGGACATTCCGTTAAAATATGCATTTCATCCTCAATTTCCTTCATACAATTAAAACAGGTTCTAAGTTGGGCTGGGACATTTTCATCATCGCATCCTTATGCTCGGTTGGTAACTGTTGTTTGCATTATTTCAATATTTCCAGATGGCGGATTTTTTCAAGCCCGGAAGAGCAAAGAGACCATCTTTGACGGAATCATTCATAGGAACCATCCTTTCTAAACACTATGGTCTGCGCATGTTCAGTTGTCAGGAACTAAACAGCTATGACGATTTTAACTTCCGGGTCAAGGCAGAGTCGAACGGAACAAATGAAAACTTGAAGGAAGTCAGTTGCCATGGTTTTGTCTTCAAAGTGTTGAACTCTCTCGACTCCTTGAATACTGGCGTCACAGGTGAGACATTCATATTTAAGCTGTATGTCGAGGGTTATATGCTAGTCCTTGTCAAGGGTTATAATAAATCTATTTCATGTCAAGGGTAATAATTCACTAGTATTCCGTGTCGTTGGTTATATTCTATTCCACGTCATGGGTTATCAAATACTAGTATTATATGTCAAAGGTTATATTCTGTTCCACGTGAAGGGTTATCACCTACTGGTATTCCATGTCAAGAGTTATCACATATGCTATGTCAAGGGTTATAACACACAAGTATTCCATGTCAAGGGATATCATACGCATGTACTAGTTTTCTATGTCAAGGGTTTTACTAATATTTCATATCAACAGTTATCACATGGTTCACGTCAAGGGTTATCATATACTAAACTGCCAGTCAAAAGAAAGTATACGCATCAAAACGTTACTAGGCTGAAAGGTTATCACATATTCCGTATCAAGGGTTATCACATATTCCATGTCAAGGGTTATCAAATGTTCCATGTCAACGCTTATTTATTCCATGTCAAGGATTATCACATATTCCATGTCAAGGGCTATCACATATTCCATGTCAAGAGTTATCATATATTCCATGTCAAGGGTTATCATATATTACATGTCAAGGGTCATCATATATTACATGTCAAAGGGTTATTACATATTCCATGTCAAGTGTTATCACATATTCCATGTCAAGAGTTATCATATATTCCATGTCAAGGGTTATCATATATTCCATGTCAAGAGTTATCATATATTCCATGTCAAGGGTTATCATATATTACATGTCAAGGGTCATCATATATTCCATGTCAAGAGTTATCATATATTCCATGTCAAGAGTTATCATATATTCCATGTCAAGGGTTATCATATATTACATGTCAAGGGTTATCATATATTCCATGTCAAGAGTTATCATATATTCCATGTCAAGAGTTATCATATATTCCATGTCAAGGGTTATCATATATTACATGTCAAGGGTTATTACATATTCCATGTCAAGTGTTATCACATATTCCATGTCAAGTGTTATCACATATTCCATGTCAAGGGTCATCATATATTCCATGTCAGATGTTATTACTAGTATATGTTCCATGTCAAGTTCATACCCGTTTCTGTGTCACTCTTCACTGAGCTGCACCTAGCGGAAAGAATGACCTCGAACTGGGATATAATTTCAGAAGCTCAGCACGAGATGATGTCTCGGGTGTATGAGAGTGGTATCCTCACCCCCCGGGCCGTTCCTACACTCACCGGACACCTTTACCTGACGGTGAACCTGCTCCTTAGGGGTTGTGAAAATACAGACAACACTGGTCAGTGTCAGTTTGGCGCTCCAGCCATCTCATGTATTCTTAACATTTGACTTCAATATGTGTTTACGTTGATGGAGGTATACGCAGATTGACACTGTGTATTCACCAGTTTTACGTTGATGGAGGTATACGCAGATTGACACTGTGCACACTTCAGGTTTTACGTTGATGGAGGTATACGCAGATTGACACTGTGCACACTTCAGGTTTTACGTTGATGGAGGTATACGCAGATTGACACTGTGCACACACCAGGCTTTACGTTATGGAGTTATACGCAGATTCACACTGTGCACACACCAGGTTTTACGTTGATGGAGGTATTCGCAGATTGACACTGTGCATACACCAGGTTTTACGTTGATGGAGGTATACGCAGATTGACACTGTGCACACACCAGGATTTACGTTGATGGAGTTATACGCAGATTGACACTGTGCATACACGAGGTTTTACGTTAATACGTTCATCGACTAAAAAACTGCTGAAGTCAATGCTTATAAAATAAATCTATTTACAATAATTGCTCCACATACTGTTTATGTAATTGTTGACACCAAAAAACTGTGGACAACGATTCTAAGTCAGAGACATCATCGGCCGCAATAATGCAACACAAGCCCCGTCCAATCTCTTTTCAGCCAATCAGGAAACAATAAATAGTCCGCTTGTGGGCGTTGCCTAAATATTTTTAGGTTATTTAAAAACAAAAATGCTTTGTCAGCCAGTCACATGACATGGAATCACTTGCAATTGTGTGTCTACAGATAAACCCGTTATTCCGGGCCCTATTAGTACGAAAACCTCAAGACGGATGGTTACCGTTTGTTACTGATATATATTTATGTATTCATGTATTTATGAAAGGGCATTACTCGGTGAAAAGATTTACTCTCATTATTGGAGCAGTTATCGCAATCACTGATACATGTTTTGCAGACACTGACTCCCCCTTCATAGTGCGGCTGTTTGAGTATGTCCCGGGGACAATACTAGAATCTGTCCCCCTCACCCCGGGGCTGTGCTACAAGGTGGGGGTGATGGCGGGCAGAGTGAACACTGCGTTAAAGGTGAGAACTACTGGAGCCTTATATGCTCGCTCTTTCACGACTGGCTGCATGTATCGAGTCTTGGCAAGGCAAAACACTGGTTGATAGCCAAACCCATTGAGATCAGATCTTTCACGATGCCTCCCAAGAAGCCGTCAAGATCGTGAGTACACCTCCACAGGAGATCGCTTCTGGTGAATTTTGACCCCCCAATTTATGTGGAGGAAGTGTGTGTTCTTTGGCCAATCAGATATCAGCTTTCTTAAACGTTTCGGCTTCATCTTTAACGATTGGAAATCGGAAATTCGATTTTACCAAAAAACTCCAAACAGAACACAAATACTACTTCGAAGGTCCTCTCTTTGGGTGTAGATGCCACAGCGCCATACTACAGGGTTCATAAAATACCCACAACTATAGAGGGTGGCCTTTATCGTTTTGTTTTCGGAATAAGCCGATTAACTTCGTGTTTGACATTAATACTATCGTGATTTCGGAATTGTGAATAAATATGACTCTAGATGTATTGACTTATTATTAAAATAAATATTAATATTTTCTACATTACATGTTTTCTAACCACCAGATACTATTACCCTGCTCTTACGGCAAACATTGTATACCATGGTCACCAATAAGAAAATGTATGCTTAAACAGATCGAAGAATCCCCGAGAGACGAAATACACTCTTCAAAAAAAGAAACGCATAGGTGTTTTGAGAATTCCAATTAGATTTTATTTCCCAGCAATCGTCATAAAGACAATTCTTATGTTTGATTCCCGTTAATCATGTCATGTTTGTTGTGCTTGGCGCAAACACATCTCAAAATGTTTTTTTGTAAACGTTTATCAGCAAAAATGCAAAGGATGCACGGAAATTGCTTTGAGATAAAGTTTTCAGCACAATGCACGTGCAAAATGTTGGAAACAGGAGTAGAGACACTGACTATAAAAGACCGTACAAAATTCATCAGTTCATTACGAATTTTCTGACGTGAACGGAGATCGAAAAATGCCAAGATTAACTGCAGCTGACCGAAATATCGCAATTGGACGTTTGGAAGCAGGGGAGTCCCAGTCTGCCGTTGCAAGACACTTCAACGGATATACCCGCATTAATTTGACTCAAGATCATCCCAGAAGTGGAAGACCAAGAGTGACCACCCCTGCTCAGGATCGGTACATCCGGTTGCATCACCTTCGGTATCGATATGCTACAGCAACGGACACTGCAGGACAAGTGCCTGGTATGCGAAGAATTTCCGACCAAACCATCAGAAATCGTCTGAGGGAAGTGGGAATTCGAGCGAGACGACCGAAAGTTGGACCTGTCTTGCGACGTCTACAACGACAAACGACGTGTCCGGTGGTGCAACAGAGTACAGGCATGGGATCTCAGGAACGGGCGACGCGTTTGGTTCAGCGATGAGTCACGTTTTCTTCATCAACGACGGGATGGAAGACAACGTGTATACCGACGTCGACATGAACGTTTTGCGCCCAACTGCGTTCGACAGGTGAACCAATTTGGTGGAGGGAGTGTCATGGTGTGGGGAGCCTTATCCTACACGGGTAGATCACAGTTAGTGGTTGTCCAGGGCAATCTTACAGCAAACAGATACATAGACCAAATTCTGCGTCCTCACCTCCTCCCAACTTTGGACCGCCAGAGGGAGCTGTTCCAACATGACAACGCTCGGCCACACACAAACCGTGCAACAGTTAATTTCCTTGTTAATGAGAACATCAATGTCCTTCCACGGCCGTCCAAATCACCTGATCTCAACCCGATTGAACATTTGTGGGACGAACTTGATCGACAAGTCTGTCAACGTCACCAGCGCCCCCACACGCCTTACAGGAAGAATGGTGAAGAATTCCCCACGAAAAAATCCGACGACTTGTGCAATCTGTGCCAAGGAGGTGTCGAGCAGTGACGGCTGCAAGAGATTGTGTGACCAGGTACTGACCATGACGCCCCCTTGTGGCTACACATGTGCAGTGACTGAACTGAATTAATGCTGACAATGACGACAATGCTTTTGTCGATCACAGTGTCTAATTTCATTTGATTGTGTTTACGCATATTCTGTGTAGATACTTTTACATCCGCTTAATAAAGATCCTTATTTTTTAACTCTGCGTTTCTTTTTAGTATTAGTCCTAATTTAACAGTTGAAAACAATAGCGAGCGACTGTCAAATCAGCATTTTAACTAATTTACAGGGGTTCCAGCATTCTGGTTTCCATGGTTACCAAAGAAAGTGGCACCTTGACCTTCTGCCGTGGCTAGTGAACTTGTTGCACGTGATTGAGGACAACGGCGACAGACAGATGGTCAGTGACGTCATCAAGACCTTTCAGTCATGTGTTCTTGATCAACGGAATGACTTGTCGCAAGGTAACGCCAATGGTTTGATTGTTTGTTGTTTACCGCCGCAATTTTCTCGCTGTAAATATTGAGTATGGACCAGACAATCCAGTAACTGACGTCACAAGCATCGCTCTTGTTTGATGTTTAACGCCGCACTCAGCAATACTCTAGCTATATGACTTCGGCCTGTAACTAATCGAATCTGGACCAGACAATCCAGTGATTGACATCATGAGCACCGATCTACGCATTTGGGATACCATGACATGCAACCAACCAAGTGACGGAGCCTGACTACTAGATCCATTTAGTCGTCTAATCACTGGATTGTCTGGTCCAGACTTCAGCAACCCAACCACAAACAAAACAAACAATATTATATATCTCGATACTCTGACAGTATCTGTCTTGTCAAAGTTCCAATGAAAATAATGAAATAATGAAACTATTCATGTCACTCTCCCCCTTCCCCTTTTATCCCCAAAACACTAAATATAACGTCAATGCAATAATACAGAGCGTGTTTTTCAAAAAAAATTATGAGCAATCTTAATTAGAACTTTCCTGTATAAACTCTGTAAACTTTTATGATTTTTCAGGAATGATACACGGTGATTTGAACGAAGGGAACATCCTGGTAACTGAAGCTGCGGATGACGACAGATGGAGGGATGAGCACGATGTGTCCGCCATCTTGGATTATGGTGACAGTGCTTATCAGCCATACATCTTTGAGGTTGCCATAGCAATGGCGTACATGTCAATCCTTAGCGACAACATCCCACCACAAACTGCATCCGGGTTTGTTCTGGCAGGCTATCTCACCCAGAATGATTTGTCCGACAGAGAAATAAAACTGTTAAAGTTATGTGTATGCGCGCGCATCACTCAGTCACTTGTTATCGGCGCCTACTCGTTCCATGTTGATTCCAGCAACGACTACACGCTTACCACGGCTAAGAAAGGCTGGCCACGACTTCGTCAACTGTGGGAAATGGACACAGAGCAGTTGGTCAGAGAGTGGCGAAGCATTGCTAGGACCTGCGAGGAAACACTCGTGACTGACTGATGATGGTGGCGATGATGATGATGATGATGATGATGATGATGATCATTTAGACTAAAAGCATGTAGAGTTACAAGACCCGTGAAGATCCGGGGTAGAATAGCAAAGTAAAATATATCATTAAAAATAGTGTTTGAAGAAACTTTATTCATGACCATATGTTTACAAACCTTTTTGTGATCGATATTCATTGCCATCTCCGTCAACCACCACCGTAACGATTTGGCAGGAGGGGATTTGAAAGTCCATCCGAAAACACTCCTCGCTTCGAAAGGCCTCGAAAACAATATCCCTACATCACTGAAGTCAAAGCACAGGAACTTGATCATAACATTCTTATCAAAGTTGATGAAATTCATTTCAGAAAACGCACAATTATGAAAATCATTCACGAACCACTGTTTCTGGGCCACAACTGTCACATTAATTTTGTTTCACACGCTTGCGTTAAATCTGATTCCTGGTGTGAAAAAAGCGGTTCCGTTTGGTAATCACATTGTACTAGCAGGCACATTCCCAGTATATCTACAGGTTATTGTTGAACCACATCATAGATCGGGGTTGTCATCTTGCTTGTGTAACTTTTCTGAGGCACGAGAATGTAAACAACACTATTGGCAGCCATTGACAGTTGTGAGTAAGTGAGTGTTTTGCGCTGCTTTTAGCCATGATCCAGCAATATCAAGGTTGGGGACACCAAAAATAGGCTTCACACATTGTACCCATGTCGGGAATCCAACGCGGGCCTTCGGTGAACGCTTTAACCACGAAGGTACCCGACAGCCCCTTGACAGCTGTGAGGTGTGAGTGTAGTACACTGTGGTGTAGGTCAAGTGCTGCAGGTTGGGGTGGAGAGGCATTAAATTTGATTTTATAAATTATTTACTGGGAGTAATTGCTATCAAACTAATAAGACTTACATATCTAAATAAATAGTGGAATTTTAATTCATAAAGTTTGTTTTGCATTTTAAAAATATTTCTACAACCTGCCACTCCTACAATGGCAAATGGCATATTTGATTTCAAAGAAATGCCTTGGTGAGTCCAAACGATGCAATTAAAACATCTATCTGTGAACTAAGTTTGGAGGGTTATTTGTCAACTTGTTTTTGAACACTTATTTTGAAGTAGTCAAGACTATGTTTTTTTAATGTTGAATTTTAGTAAAATGTGTTATAGATATTATTACCTTTGGCCCCTTTTCTAAGATAACAGACCTTTGTACCCTGTGTAGTTCTCGGAGATTTACACACGGTAGAGAACACCGTTCTCAAAGCGCTGTTGCCGTCAAAGTAGGATGGAGATAAACCCTCTGTGTTTTGAAATTTGATGTAATCCCAGTGTAGAGTAGATTCCTGTCTAAAGCTAAAGCGCTCGGTTCCAAATGAAAGTAGACCCGTGAAGAGCCGGGTGAGAATAGGTCTTCAGCAACCCATGCTTGCCGTAAAAGGCGACAATGCTTGTCGTAAGAGGCGACTAACGGGTGGTCAGGCTCGCTGACATGGTTGATGCATCGTATCGCGATTGTGTGGATCGATGCTCATGATGATCGATGCTGAATCACTGGATTGTCTGGTCCATACCCGATTCTTTACAGACTAGCTGACATATAGCTGGAATGTTGCTGAGTGCGGCGTTAAACAACAAAACAAAAATAACCAAATAAAAATAAGAGGTATCTACTCTACAGTGGGGCCACATCACATTTCAAAACACAGCAGGTTTATCTCCTAAATATCCCCTACCTTTTGTGGAAAGTATTGTTTCTAAAGATACATGGACGTTGGGTAGATATGAAGCTAAAGGAGTTGTTCACTTGTTTCCAGATAATATATCAGCTCTTACAACTTTGGGGCAGAATTATTTCTTTGTGAATGTAATCCATGTGTAATAAATGATCTTACCTCCATGGCAGAATGTTGAAATCTGATTGGTTCACGTGATTTGATGAACTATATCCCGCCTGGGGTAATACATTTCTGAGCGGGAGAATAAATCACTTATATCCCCCACGAAGAAAACAGCTTGCACATTGATTTCTAAACGGCAGAATAAATCATTTATACCCCGTCACGAAGATAACAAGATGCATTTCGTGGATTTCTCAGTCGGAACATAAGTCCCTTATATATAAAACGCTGCACATTGCTTACGATCTCACAGTTAACCCTCTGGCCAATCGAAAAGCTGTTGTCTATTAGTTTTCAGTTTTCTAACTTCTTCTACAATGAAACATGTCGGTTAGATAAATTCGTTGTGGCAGTATCAGTCGGGGTACTCGGTATTATGCGTCCCTCGTTATATTAGGTTTTATACCATTCACCTCCTGTTTGTGATATAAAACAAAACGCGGGACGCATAACACAACATGTAGCCTTCATAATACTACTGCAACCTATAGTGTTCTGTCAAACGCGTTGTCTCGTAGCTCACCTTCAATCTCGACTTGGGTTTATTTGATGTTTTGTGATGTGATGCTTCGTCTTCAGTGGTTGTTCTATTTGTCATTATTGCCATTGACAACACAATGTTATTATGTATTTATGAGTGAGTGAGTTAACCTTTTACATCTCATCGGCAGTATTTCAACCAAACAGGGAGCGCATTAATGATCCATTTTAACAAAAATTAACTTCTTTGCACATTTTTGATTACGGTATTGGACTGGGGTTGTTAAGTCAATATTTTGGACGGCCGTCAAGGCAATAGCTGATTTTGAAAGTTAGGATTAATGTGAAATGTTATAATATCATGAACTACTGTTGACATATCTTCTGTTAATAACACTGACACAACAACAACGCGAAGAGGCGAATGTTGTTTCACAACAGTCTGAAATATTTCAGCTGTATCAGCTTGTAAAGGATGACTAGACAAACAGTTGATTGATGTGACGACGCACGCTGTCGGGGCACGATGACACGATGCCAATGATGTCAATGATGTCAATGAGCATAACCGCCAGATCCATTGGCCTCTAATGACAGGCATAGATTGCTGGGGACGAGGGGCAGGGCGTGGAACATTTAAACACCGGAGACAACTACGTTTTCCTCCCAAAATATTAAGATTGTACAAATGTTAGTGAACTGTATCATCCTTTAAAACTAGTGAAGGATATTTGACTTTGCAATTATATCTCATATCACTGTATGTGTTTCCCTAGGTCGGCAAGCACTTTCCCGTGCTCGTGGGTCCATCACAGTGGCAAGCGACAGACCTGCGTCAGTTTCGTGTGTCCTTCCACATTTGTGACGTGGAATAATGACGTGGAATAATGTTCAACGAGGCGTTACTCACTCACTCACACATGCCATACGGTTTTTCCGGTGGAGGTTAGCTTCCTTGCTTCAAGCACTAACACCAGCACTAATCTATGTTGACATCTACGTTCACAACAGCTGGTTCGCATTCACTCATCTCGACTAAACGTATTGTGCGAGTCTGGTAGCTGGTATGTACACTATCGTTTGAATATTTCGTAAAATAACGGGTAAGATTTGCCAGTATTTAAGTTATACCACTGCACGTCAGATTAAAGTAGGAAGATCCAGTGATGGTTCCAGGTCAGACTTGGTGCTATGTAGGTAGACCATGCTTGTCGTAATAGATGGACCGCCTCTGTGGTCTAGTGGTAGAGCGTCCGCCCGGAGTGCCGGCAGCGTCATACCAAAAGATGGTACTTGTTGTTACCCTGTTTGGCGCTCGGCATTAAGGGGCTAAAACAAGGACTGGTCGCCTCGGAGTCAGTATACTGTGTCTGAGTGGGGTATTCATGTTAATCTGCGGCATGGTATCTCAGTGTGCTAGCACTATAAATCAGCATCAGTCCGAACTAGTACAAACAGCCACACAAACACACACACGTACATGCACGTCGCTATAAAAGTGCAATAATCTTTGACGCGACATTTCACCTCACCTCGTAAGAGATGACAAATGGATATGGTGGTCAGGCGTTGTGTCCCGACGGTGAGACAGTACCTACAGGCCTCAGTGACATGTTTTGTTTTTGCTGACTTCGACGTTTAACAACAATCTGGGATTCGAACCAACTCGCACAGTGCCACATATGTTGTAGCAGTCGGGGTATTTGTATGTTATCAAGAGCACGAGAACCAATCGGATCTCAACATTCTGACATGGTTGTGTGATGATGGGTCTAAAAGACGGAGCACCCTGGACGACTGGGCCATCTATGTTCCCCTTGTATGGTTATCATGAAAGAGGGATTCAGTGTGACCCGCCGTTTCCTACCATCAGCTGTCAATGAGAGAGGGATTCAGTGTGACCCACCGTGTCCTACCATCAGCTGTCAATGAGAGAGGGATTGAGTGTGACCCACCGTGTCTTACCATCAGCTGTGAATGAGAGGGATTGAGTGTGACCCATCGTGTCCTAACATCAGCTGTGAATGAGAGAGGGATTCAGTGTGACCCACCGTGTCTTACCATCAGCTGTGAATGAGAGGGATTCAGTGTGACCCACCGTGTCCTACCATCAGCTTTGAATGAGAGAGGGATTGAGTGTGACCCACCGTGTCCTACCATCAGCTGTCAATGAGAGAGGGAATGAGTGTGACCCATCGTGTCCTACCATCAGCTGTCAATGAGAGAGGGATTCAGTGTGACCCACCGTGTCCTGCCATCAGCTGTGAATGAGAGAGGGATTGAGTGTGACCCACCGTTTCCCACCATCAGCTGTGAATGAGAGAGGGATTGAGTGTGACCCACCGTGTCTTACCATCAGCTGTGAATGAGAGGGATTCAGTGTGACCCACCGATTCCTACCATCAGCTTTGAATGAGAGAGGGATTGAGTGTGACCCACCGTGTCCTACCATCAGCTGTCAATGAGAGAGGGATCGAGTGTGACCCATCGTGTCCTACCATCAGCTGTGAATGAGAGAGGGATTGAGTGTGACCCACCGTGTCCTACCATCAGCTGTGAATGAGGGAGGGATTCAGTGTGACCCACCGTGTCCTACCATCAGCTGTCAATGAGAGAGGGATTGAGTGTGACCCACCGTTTCCTACAATCAGCTGTGAATGTAAGAGGGATTGAGTGTGACCCACCGTTTCCTACCATCAGCTGTCAATGAGAGAGGGATTCAGTGTGACCCACCGTGTCCTACCATCAGCTGTGAATGAGAGAGGGATTCAGTGTGACCCACCGTGTCCTGCCATCAGCTGTCAATGAGAGAGGGATTCTGTGTGACCCATCGTGTCCTACCATCAGCTGTGAATGAGAGAGGGATTCAGTGTGACCCACCGTGTCCTACCATCAGCTGTCAATGAGAGAGGGATTCAGTGTGACCCACCGTGTCCTACCATCAGCTGTCAATGAGAGAGGGATTGAGTGTGACCCACCGTTTCCTACAATCAGCTGTGAATGTAAGAGGGATTGAGTGTGACCCACCGTTTCCTACCATCAGCTGTCAACGAGAGAGGGATTCAGTGTGACCCACCGTGTCCTACCATCAGCTGTCAATGAGAGAGGGATTCAGTGTGACCCACCGTGTCCTGTCATCAGCTGTCAATGAGAGAGGGATTCTGTGTGACCCACCGTGTCCTACCATCAGCTGTCAATGAGAGAGGGATTCAGTGTGACCCACCGTGTCCTACCATCAGCTGTGAATGTAAGAGGCATTGAATGTGACCCAGCGTGTCCTACCATCAGCTGTGAATGTAAGAGGGATTGGGTTGGGGGAGAGGCTGGGATTTTGCATTGTGATCGATATCTTTTCAGCTACAGCTACAAAAACAGATAGTTTTTTAATGTAAAACTATGAACCTTATTTATTTTCAAAAGAAAATCTCTTTGCAGCAATGTTATTTTTGTGGCATTCAATTTGTTTTTTTCATCAGTCTGAATAACGATTTTTTCATTTTCGGGCCAATTGAATTTTTAGATAAAATCCGGTATCGGCATTAAAAACGACGCCACGTTGGAGGGCCTGTTTTTAACCCGGCATACAAAGGTGAGCCTTTCGTAGCTCATCGCTTGACCGAACCAAGGAAATCCCACCTATAGCACTATAAACCCAGCAAAAGTCCGAACTCGTTCAGTGTACCTCGCTGTGTTCAGTTTACCTCGCTGAGTTCAGTGTACCTTTGACCGCGACGTTATACCCCATGTCATACCGCCCCTAACGACAAGCAGAACAATGATGATTACCTATTCTAACCCGAGGTACAGAAATGAGCCTTGGCAGCTATTTGCTCCGATCAACCAAAGACACCCACCCCACCTACAGCTCAGACATCAATGGAAAAGCTTTCTTAGGGTCAGTCGTGTGTATCAGAGTCGAACTGTCGTGTAGCAGGGTTGTCTTACACCTGCACGTTGTTTGCAAATAGAACATCCTCCACCTCAGATGAAGCTTCCATTTCATTTACTTGATACTTCGAGGTTCCACCCGTCTCTGAAACTTTGATGACTGGTGACTGATGCTAAAATGTTCAAGAGGTTTTTTTGTATTGTATTCTATATATAACTGTTGGAGTCATTTTTTTTATCGCCCACAGTTCAACAAAATGGCGAACGCCATCACGCTTGCAACATCGGAGAAACCATCGTTGACTGTGTCCTCCATTGGGACGCTACTTGCACGACATTATGGCCTGCACATGACCAGTTGCCAGAAACTTAACAGCTATGAAGATTTGAACTTCCGGGTCAAGGTGGAGTCAAACGGAGACAATTCGAAGGAAACGTGTTGTCATGGTTATATTTTCAAAGTTGCTAACAAACGAAACTCACAGAACACAAACTATATAGGTAAGTTTCTTGTCAATTTCTGATTGTATTAAAGGTTTGAGGTCATGTATAATAACATGATTTATTTGATACGGATGCGAACTAGCAAGATTGTGACATTGTAAATGAAACTATCGAATTTGATTTCAATTAAAATAATTATATGTAAAACAATGTATGTATTATGTACAACAACTATTTTACTTGCTAATGCACTGATCAGTATGTGAGGATATTCTTATGTTAGATTTTCGTGAGATAAAACTTGTCCAATTTGATATTCTTGTCACAGGCAAATCACATGATCTACAAAATTATTGCTTCAGAAGCCCAGCACGAGATGATGTCCTGTGTGCTCGGGAATGGTATCCTCGCCCCCCGGGCCGTCCCCACCCTCACCGGGCACCTGTACCTGACGGTGAACCTGCCAGACGAGGGCTCTGAAAACACAGACAGCACGGGTCAGTTTGGTGTTGAATATGCGCTGGAACTAATATGTCATTGTTTCCCCACGGCGTTGCTCATACTATCAACCACTGGTTTGCTTGGCCCGGGCTTAATTTCAGGCGGCAGCCATATAGCTAACATGTTGATTGTAACCTAAAATATTCACTCATTCACTATCAATGCACAAACCGCCTTTCACATTTTTGGCACAACCTCGAATGTTGTCTTAGTAGTGAGCCGGGTTCGATTCCCGACATGGGTACAATGTGTGAAGCCCATTTCTGGTGTCCCCCGCCGTGATATTGCTGGAATATTGCTAAAAGCGGCGTTAAACCATACTCACTCACTCACTTAGTAGTGAGGGGCGGTGAAGTAGCCTTTTGGACAAAGCGTTCGCTCAAGCCGAAAATCGGGTTCGCTTCCACATGAAAATACAATTTGTGAGCCCATTTCCGCCGTGGTACTGCTTGAATATTGCTGTGAGGGGCGTGAAACTGGAATTTCCCAACCACTCAAACTCTGAACACTGCGCTACTACAATAAAGGCTTCTTTTCCAGACACTGACTCCCCCTATGTTGTGCGGCTGTTTGAGTATATCCCTGGGACAATTATACAGTCTGTTCCCCTCACGCCGGGGCTGTGTTACAAGGTGGGGGAGATGGCGGGCAGAGTTGACACGGCGTTAAAGGTAAGAACTGTGTTACTTATGTACAAGTCATTTGAGGGTCGTTATTTCGTTCTCGAAAGAAGTTCAGTGATTGTGAAAATAACACGATAAATTAAGCGTCGATTGAGGATTATGTGGCGTTTGTAGTGGGCTCTCGGTGTCTACCTAAAGGCTGACAAACGATGATTAAGAAAGTCCTGTTTAAAGCGGAGAACATCCTAACTCATTCGCTAATCGTTAATATGGTTATTCTTCTTTTCACGGTAGATCTTAAAATGACCTCAATAATTCTGTGAGTGAAGTAAAATGTAATAAATTCCAATATTTCAAAAGTGAAGTCATATTTCTGAAAGTATTTGGTCTTTTGTTTAGCCTTAATGAATTATTAACCATGTCAAGCGATTTCAAATTTTACTCATCTCCGCACAGGGCTTCGATCATTCTGGTTTCCATGGTAACCCAGTGATCTGGCGCCTTGACCATCTGCCGTTGATTCTTGACTTGCTGCACGCGGTAGAGGACAATGGTGACAGAGAGATGGTCAGTGACGTAATCAAGACATTTCAGTCACGTGTTCTGGAACACCTGAATGAATTTCCACAAGGTAAGATAGAACTTGATGTAGCAGGAATATTGCTGACTGTGCCGATAAACAACATTCACTCACTACACGAGGTTCTACGCGTTTTATACGAGGAACATCTGCCATTCCCTGGAACTGAGCTCGTATAAACAAACTAACCTTATCGTTTTCTGTCATTTCTCTGTCATTTCCGAAGTATATTTTTGTAACAAAAAGACTAAAATACCAGTTACCATGGCGATGATCAGTGAAATGTAGTGACATGAATTTTTGCTTCCCGATTTGATACCAGCATAAGACGAGATTTCATGTACTTATAAATACTACATCGTTCCAGGGCCCACTTGCACAAAGCGATGTTAGTGCTACAACTATTGTAAGCCTATGTTAAAGTATGGAAGTTACGATCATCTTAGCGCTAAGATCGCTTTGTGCAAGCGGGCCCAGGTCCTTGACGCCTTTATCCCATTTCTGGCAACTTGATCAGATTCTCAATATATTTAGAGCAAAGTATTTTTCCCCAGATATATCCAACAAACTATTTTTTTACTGATCACCATAAAACGTGTTAATTTTCACTATTGACACCAAAACGTGTTACGTTTAGGTATTTTCCACAAAACAAACTATTCATTTTTGTCGGCCTTTGTCAATAAACTGTTCGTTTTGGGCATCTTTCTGAACAAACTATTCTTTTTTCTTTTAAAATTGAAAAGCTATAACATTATTTTTATTAGAGTTTCATATTTCTGTGAAATCTCAGTAAATTTTGATTTTTCAGGAATGATCCATGGTGATTTGAACGAAGGGAACATCCTGGTAACTGAAGCTGCGGATGACGACAGATGGAGGGATGAGCACGATGTGTCCGCCATCTTGGATTATAGTGACAGTGCTTATCAGCCATACATCTTTGAGGTAGCCATAGGAATGACGTACATGTCAATCCTTAGCGACAACATCTCACCACAAACTGCATCCGGGTATGTTCTGGCAGGCTATCTTACCCAGAATGATTTGTCAGACAGAGAAATAAAACTGTTAAAGTTATGTGTATGCGCGCGCATCACTCAGTCACTGGTAATTGGCGCCTTCTCATTCCACGTTGATCCCAGTAACGACTACACGCTTAACACGGCTAGGATAGGCTGGCCACGACTTCGTCAACTGTGGAAAATAGATACAGAACAGTTGGTCAGAGATTGGCGGAACATTGCCAGGTCCTGCGAGGAAACACGCGTGACTGATGATGGTGGCGATGATGATGATGATGATTGTGGTGATTATAATGACGAGGAGTATGTAAGGCTGGGACGAGTCTAAATTTACTACAGACCTAGACCCTCTATTACCCGACCCTACCCACTCTAGGTCTTAAGTTTGGTAAGAAATTGGGAATATTTTTACTTGAGCCCTGACAAAAGGTATTTAGATAAACATCTAGTACGCCATAAAACGATCTGATCGTGCATACACTGAAGTTGACCGAAGCTTAGTCTCTACTTAAAAAACAGAAGTAATGTGTGCATAGTCAGACAGAAATGCGGACATTAGCGACTTGTTATTATCATACAAAAAAACCCACGGGTCCGGGTAGTCCCGAGTACCCGAGTTACCCGTCCAAGCCCTATGAGGATGTGGATTTTAAGGCTCGACAGAGATAAACCCTCTTATCTGATGTCATACCCCTCTTTAGTGTATTAAAGCCTCAAGGTTTGGGGGGTTTCATATTTGTGTCTGTCATATTGTTCAAGGGGAGTTGTCCTCGGATGGTAGCTCAGGGTGGACGACTGAAGACAAAACTCAGGGGTGGAGTTTAAGAAGATGGCAGCCATGTTTATTGTTGATCACAATAGGGAATAACCGCCGAAAAGTTTCATGATGAGGATGGCGTGACAGAACGCACACCGGGACCGAGTGGCCAGGGTTCCGGGGTGCGGAGACCCGCTCTGTCACTTACACACAGGCTGGAAGTCGGACTGCGATTCCTCATCATCGATGTAGGCGCCTAGCGTACAATCAGTCCGCATTCATCGGTGATCTGGGTCCGTCTCACAGATCAATGTTGTTGCGTTAAATGTTTTAAGAGGTCGCCTCTGCCTCAACAATTTCGGCTGACTTGTCCCTCTTTGGGCTTCATGTGTGTGAGTAGGGTACACATATCTATTGTGAGTTTTTGTATTCATTACATTTCTGTTTCGTATTTTGATATGATTTCATTGATTCTTTGTCTATTCTGTTAATATACGTTCGAGTAGCTGTCCATGTCTCCGAAATAGGGTTAGTTTGGCCTTCACTATTGCATCTCGTAGCTTTAGGAGATCCACGACAGGTAGCATATCTAACTGTAATTTTTGTTTTAACCGAGCCCGGGGCATGGTCTTGACATTCCAGTTACAAGTGAGCAATGGATTTAGTTGATTTGCAAGATAGGCATACCTTGTCATAGTGCTTTTTGTGACCGAGTCTGAGGTGTGAAATGGCTACTTCAACTTTTCCGTCATGTGTGAATGATTATAGCATTTGGTAGATCTTGGGTTGAATTTTGTATAGCTAACTGCCGATCTTACTTTCGTTCCACTGGGATTGTCATCTTTGGGCTTTGGAGGCTTTGATTTTGCTTTATATCTCCAGGTTATTGAAGGGAATAGGTTGTATATCCGCTTCGTCTGGAGCTGGCTTCGCCAGTGTGTCTGCTTTTTCATTTCCATGAATATCTATGTGAGAGGGGATCCAACACAGCTCCACCTGTTTCCCCTGGTCCGATAGTTTTTGTATATTAGTGTAAAATAGTATTGACTGTGTTTGGTCTCGAGTTTGAGTTTCTGTCGCTGATGGCTTGAAGTACACTTAGCAAGTCTGATTGGATGACTGCCTTTGCTTCCAGTAGCTCCGGAATGAGTGCATGATGAATTGCCTACAATTTAGCAGTGAATACTGATTGACCAGGCAGGCAAGGAAAACCAAATTTGCTTGGGGTTTGGAGCTATGGATTTGGATCCCGTAACCAGCAGCGTTGTTGATAGGATTATTGGATCCATCAGTTGTTATATGGCAGTGTATTTTATTGTTTAACAGTGATTGTTTAAGAGTGACTAGTATCCTACCCTATTTGGTATCCCTGGGATGAAATTCTCTAGTGTCAGGATGATTCTCCCTAGTGAATTTGAACCCATACCAGTGTCTTTAATCCTATCCACATCTTGCCACATATTCTTCCAATAAAACCTGCATAGGTTTTGTCCCTAGCGAGATGACAAGCATCATGGCTGTGACAGCCTCACAACACACTGTCCTTTCTGTCAGCTGTGGTAACTTTCCTCTTCTGTTGTCCTTTGTATAATATAGCTAATCTTTTTCCAAACAGAAATGTTGACATTTTTTGCCTCAAAGCTCTCTTCTGGTTAAAGTTACATTTTTCTGGATAAGATTTGTCCTGTAAGTAACTGAACACTTTGGAATACTCTGTTCCATCCATGGTTGATCAAAATCAACTGACAATGTCAATGTTAAACCTCAAAGTCATGAAGTCATGTGATCAGCTGACAGCATGTAATGCATGTGCAAAGGAAGTCTGTCATGGGATAATATACACTGGGATGAATTACCCTTACTTTTTGGACATAACCTATCCCAGATTTCCCACAGTAAGGCAGGACACTATACTCTAGAGTAAAACTTCCCCCAGGATAATATTTAGGTAGGATTTATTCCTTGCTTACAATTACAGCTGTATTGCATTGTTTCTGTTGAGATTTGGTAGACGCTCATTGCATTGTGTTTGTACAGTGATTAGTCGTCAGGAAGTATCTACATTTAGATGCTAGTGTAGTGTGTAAACTTCCGGTCCCGTATACCGCGGACGGTGATAGTATGTTATCGAAACTTCTGTTATGTTCTATGTTGCGAGGGCACTATGTGGAACTTTCCAGTTGCTGGATAGGCTGTATATTAGGACACAAGAATCACTGGATTGTCCGGTCCAATGTCATGAGCATCGATCCACCCGATCCCGTTAGTCGCCTCTAACGACATGCATAGTTGCCTTTTAAGGCAAGCCTGGGTTGCTCAAGATCTTCACGGGTAATATATATTATTATCACTGACTTTTGCTATCACCACTGTATTTGTGTATTTGATACTGACCACTGCCATCATATTATATATTGCCATTAACTCTTGTATTACCACACTTTTGCTTGCTGCCATTGTAATTGTGCAGTAATTTGTATTGTTTTGCAAAAAATAATTTTGTAATACATTTGTTGATGGAATACCACTTGTTGGTTGTTTGTTGGTTTCACACTAACTTCTTTTATGTACAGATTTCTGGATTAACATATTGTTTAAATTTGGGAATCGTCACGTAACACAGAGTATATATAGGCCCAGCTGCCCCAGGTAGTTTGAATTTTAGTGATAGCTCCTGATCATGGTAAGGTTGGGGTTTTCTTTCTTCGTGACTTCTGATCTTTAAGCAGTGTCACCTTTTTTTAAAGTCCAGGGAGGGTGTAACCCTTTGAAGTAACTTTCTGGTGGCTGAATGTCATGACAGTCGTGAATTTAGATGAGTTGGTGTTCTAATGTCCCAGATAGCTTTAGTGAGGGATTTTTTTCTGAGCTCAGGCTTCATCTTAAGTGTTTTTGTCTTGCCATATCTTCCAAACCAAAGGGTTTGATGTTCGTCCCCTGAATGATAATATTGCCTGCTCTCTTCTTTGTTTCAATGTGGGTTCACCTGTTCCTACTTGGAGTGCTTCTAATGAAGTACTTGCAGTGCTTCTAATGAAGTACCTGTTGCTGCACCAGTCGTTAGCATTAGGACTTTATATTGTTTTCCGTCGAGGCGGCTCAAGACAGTATTTGATGCTGAGTGAAATGCCTCACAACCCTAGTCTACTTTTGATCTGATGAGTGATTTGTAGAGGTCCAGCCGAGTGTCCCTCGAGGTACCCAAGATGTGACTGAAATGGCCTGCAATACATTCAGGTCTTTATGACATCTGTTTTTTTTCACATGTTTGCTCCTATGAGGTATTGATCAAGGATCACCCCTAGGAATTTTGCGGATTTTTTGAATGTTTCGATTTTGATTGGTTTGCCTTTTATGGAGAGACGGGGTATCAAAGCATCTTTCCCCCTGCAATTGAACGCAACTCCCACAGTTCTTTTCACTTGAAAGGGTGAACCCCAATTATTGAAGCATTGATCTTCTCCGTCCAAGGCTGACAGGAGTTTTTTCGTGAAATATCTGTATTTTACCCATATTGCTCCATCATCAGCGAATATAAAGTTGGGGTAGGAGAGTTTACATGATCAAATATATAATATTTGCTCATGATGTTAAACGGTGTTGGGCTTACAATACTGCCTTGTGGCGTGCCATTGTCCAGTGACATAGGGTCGGATTGGCTGTTCCCTATCTTAACTGATAGCAACCTGTCCTGCAGGAAGCTGTCTATAAAGTTGGCCATGTTCCCGTCAACTCCATGTTGTGCTAGGTGTGTGAGGAGTCGATTTTTTTTTTCTGAAGTCCTGAAGTCCAGAAATGCTGCGACTAGGCATTGTCTGTTTAGTTGAGTTTTTTTCTTGTAGTATATGATCAGTCTCAGTATATGATCTAGACATGAGAGTCCCTTCCTGAAAACTGGTTTGATCAGGTTCGATGTGTTTCAAGGTGATGTATGAGCCTCTTTGTAATCATGGCTTCCATAGCTTTGCACATGTTTGAAGTGAGTGAGATCGGTCAATAGGAGTTTGGTAGGGCTTCGTCTTTCCCTTGCTTCAGAAGCAGGATAAGTGCAGCATGTTTCCATGCTTTTGGGACTTCTCCTTTGGAACATACCATGTTGCACAGCAGGGAGTAAGCTCTTGGATTGTTTAGGTAGGTTTTTCAATTTCTCGTAACTGGTTCTGTCAAGACCTGGTGCAGTACTTTTTCTATGTTGTATTGCATCATGAAACTCTGTCACAGTAAATGGTATATTGTATACCAGATGCTTACCTTGCGACTGTTTTGATATCTAAGGCATAAGCATTTTCTCCTGTTTGAATTCTTTGCTGCCATTTATGTTGCTGCTGACAAATGAGAAGTGCTCAGATACAATGGTGGCCTTTTTATTGACTGTGTGGGCGTTGGCTAACTTGGGAATTTATTTAGGTTTATGCCTTCCCTGCTTGTGTGTATTTTGCTCCAGACTGTTTTAGCATTTGTTTTTTTCAATTAGAGTTTTGCAGAAGGTCCTTTTTCAGAATCATCTACGAATCAGAATCTCAGAATCATGACTAGAGGGGGGATACGTCGAAAGTTTGTTGAATACATTGAACATATAAAGGAGAAAGAATCTCGGTACACTTTGGAAACATATTGAAATAATTAGGGATTTTAGATAAATTAAGTTTTAAAGAAATGTATAGAAATGGTTTGCACTATAACAATACCTCTGAACGTCGTGGAGCTTTGGTTCTCAAAAGCGTGTTTATAATAGTGACAATATTCAAAATTCAAGTATATAGTAAAATTCATGTGACATCGACAACTGGACAAATATTTGCTACAGGCACTGATCATGACTCAGATGTTTAAAATTGCATTAGATAAGATATACAGGCGTGTCAACAGAATTGTCAACATCGGTCAAACAGTTATACATAACATTAATTAAGCGGAGGTTCCAGCTTGTACACACAAAAATTACACATTCTGGCTCGTACACAAAAACATTGGACGGTCCACCGAGCGCCAACTCCTATTTGCCATTGCCCATGCAGTCGGAATACCAGACCTATTGGAACATTTACTATCACAGGTATTACATAAAAAAAGAAAATAAACGTTGTTAAAGTAAAGTACACTGATGGGGTAGGGACAAAGAACATAATATGCCTAATGTGTTGTGTGCATAAACATTAAAATTTCATGATAAGAGTAAGATCTTTGAATATGGGAGTCTAATATTGTGAGTCTAGAATCGACAAGGCTAGCAGATGTTGGATGTCACCTGCGCTAAAAGTAGAATGTGTATGCAAAAACCTAACCAACTTCGAATATATTAGCTGGAATGTAATGAAAAATCAAGTGAAATTGAAGATATTTTAACGAATCGCATATCGTATGCAAGAGAGCATTAACAGTTCATCACACAAGATATTTAATTTTCGTTGGTATCCTAATTAAGCACAAAATCACATTGGAAAGCATTAACAAATGAATATAGAATATATACACATTCTCTGATTACTTATGGAAAAATCAACACTATATATCGTGAGCCAAAAAAGATTAATGAAAGCCGAGTGGAAGTAGATTTCAGCCTCAGGCAGAATCGAGTGAGTCACCTGATTCCTGATGTCAAGTCAGTGTCGAAACAACAACACATGTGCATCCCACGTGGGTTCATAATGATAGTTTTGACTGAAGAACAAGTGATCGCATGGAATTTGAACATCAAGTTATGTTGGCGTAAGTTTTTAACATTGTGTAATATATTTTGTTCTCTTACAGGATGTCCATGTTCCTGATGTCAGTGATGCATACAAGTATCAGATGGGAGATGTGAAGAATGTCCTCTCAAGCATCTTCAATCCTGTATGTCTCACACCACAAGAGTCTATGAACACCGACATAGATATTCTCAGGGCAGAACTGAAGAGAACAGCATTCGTATTAAATGAGCAGTATCGGAAAGTGCATGACTTAAAGAAAAATACTCTGAGAAAGTCAGGCACAAAGAAAAACACAGTGGATTGGAACAAGCTCTTCAAAACTTACCATGAGAATCTTAGACCAGTTGACTACACCACTACATGCATTGGCCTTTATGCGCCAAGACAAACCTATACACTGATGTATTGTAAGCCTGGTAACTGAGATGAATATCATTCACAAGAAATATATATTCCATATGATACCTACTTCTGCCCATGGTAAAATAAGATATGTCGGAGGGCGTTCAATTGCAAAATTGACATACCATTACATGGAACTGGTTCGTATTGATTTTGACTTAGTGGCCAGGATACTTCATCACTATACTTTTGAACGTTATCCTTGTTGTTTCACAAGCTTATCTAAATGAATGTACAAAATATCCAGAGAATATTTTGGACACCTACAGAAAACAAAACTTATCTTGTGGACTTACAAACGTATCAGAGAGAGCATTTGAGATTTCCTCTGTTTGGAAAAGGTTCGTCTGCCCTTGTATAAGAATTTCGACCTCAGAAAACATGGTGTTATATTGTACATGTCCATGAGACAGAACTTTTTGACTCACAGTTGTATTCAATATGGGCATCTCTCTTCCTAAATGTGACAACATCAATGCTTGGTGGAAGGAATGATGACAGTGACTGTGGTGCAGTCCTGAGTGACATTGTTGATGGAAGTTTTTCTGTATGTGAAATGTACTGTCGAGATGTCACATCTTTCCTCAATGCTACTGATGCATAGTACAGAAGGAAACTCACTACAGTACTCGGGAAATGGAAAAGCCTGGAGCACAGAAAGCAGATCTTCACCAAGCAAAGTAAGGGTGCAGAAGCTGCTATCTCCTTCTCATCAGTCATAGCTGACAAATCTGTACAAAAACAATATTTAAAGCTGAAAGGAACTCTAATGCAAAAACAGACCACACTGTTTAACCTCACAAAGAACGAAATTGTAAAATTAGGACAATGTTACAGATTATCAATGAGTTTGTCGATGAAGAACGATGTCATTGCAGCTCAACTTACAGAACAGGGGCCTGCTCATCAAAGCGATCATAGCACTATAACTATCATAAGCCTATATTAAAGTATGGGAGTTATGATCACCTTTGCGCTCAGATCACTTTGTGGAACGGGAGCCTGGTGCTTAAAGCTGACGGCATGCCTAATCAAGAGAAACTGGATGGTCATTCAGGAAGTATTCCTCTGACTGAATGTGGAGAGAGTTCTTCTGCTGTTGGAGAAATACTGAATGAAGAAGAGGAAACTGACATGCAAACAGCAACTTCTAAAAGCAAAACAAGTGGACAGGTCACTACCAGAGCAGAAAGGGGAACGGGCAGAGCGAAAGGAAAAGGAAAAGGCAGAGGAAAAGGAAAGAAAGATAACTTACAGGTTGTGATTGATGAAGAACTATCTGAAGTTGGTGGTGACATGTACGATGATAAAGACGACGACCCATGGATTGAATGAACTAGTTGCGAACAATGCATGCACAGATCTTGTGGAGGCATATCACAAGATCTA